GCACCTATTTTCACCCTCTGTCTGCTCTGATTGGTTAGCTGGCCAGCTCTGCTGTGATTGGTCAACCGCTTAGAGATGTCAGGCCCCTTAGCCTATCACTTACAATATGTTGGAGCCCTAGCCAATAGAAGTGCGAGTGTTACATAATGATGTAACTATGTTACTGAAGTAAACAAAGGAGTGTGTGTGAGAGAAAAACTCTGGCGTGAATTTGGGGATTTTAGCCTTTGCAGACCATTTACATGCACAAAAAACCTATATAACACAGAAGAGGAAAGGGAAACCCCCAAAAAGCATAATAGGGCCTGTTTATTAGACATAATTAGTTGTTTCTTATGGAAAGATTTAAAAAGCTGCCTGTCATTTCGACAGATTGGAACACAGAGAATTCACAAAAGGATTGTGCGACTTTTACGTCCACTAAACCTGTAACAACAATAAGACCAAATCAAACTTTGTAATCCTCAAAGCCCCAGCAAAGGGTGAAATGCATTCATGCAGTAACTGCACTATTCTTCCCCTGCGCAATATGCACCTCTTTAAATTAAGGAAACGCATACATTTGTAGTGAAATTGGCCCCTTTCTATGCAAATGAGCCTCTTTGCAAAAACCATCCAATTCACAAAGACCAGTAACAGGGAAGTCATTAGCGTCTTCAGGGAGTTGGTGGCAAGTGAAGCGCATAAGAGGGGTCTGTTAAAACTTGTTTATTTTAGGGACGCAGTCACTGCACTGACATAGTGACAGGATGCAGTGACGGTTGTCATGAAAAATAAATGTATAGAGCTCCCTTACATGTCATTTATGAAAACACATGAAAAAAGAACGAGATATAAATATTCAGTGAGATGTGTCCGTGTGGAAATGCCTGCAGCATCTCTCTTAATGGGGAGACACACTTATCTTTCTGCTGTGGGAGGATCGCTGAAAGGAGAGCTAAATGAGGCTTATTCCTACCTGAGAGGTCTATTCAATAAACATCCTGAGCCCCCCCCCCCGCAAATTGACACAGCTTCAGGGGAAAATCTCTACAATACCTCACCTTGTGGAGTATCGAATGCGATTCAGGATAGAAAATAATTAACTGTATTCCCTTATGGTTGAAAAGAACAAGACAATCAGATTACTGGTACATTTCTGAAAATTGAGGATTACCAGCAAGATTACAGTGCTACTAAAAAAAAAAAAACATTATGTTTGATGCAAAAAGATCCGATTGTATTTCATCTTTGGAAGCTGAACTGTTCTGTAGGCTAATACTTTAAGTGTGAATCTATTCCTATTTATGGTTCTTAACTTTCCTTGGAATTCAGTAGGTGAACCTATATGTGCATAAAATAGTGTGTGTCAACTGTATGTTAGCTCAGATTGTATTTTGCTCTTTTAAAACTGTAATATGTGCTCATGTGAGCTGAACTTTCACAAAATGATTGGCTTTGACTGAATTTGTACGACCCTAAAACGCAACCACTGATACTTTTGTAAAATGTTTTTACATTACATGTCACTTGTTAGACGCTTTTACCCAAAGCAACTTACATACTCAATACTGTGGGCAATCCCCACAGGAGCAATTTGCGGTGAAATGTCCCAGGGACACAACGAGATGCTGACTGCAGTGGGGTTTGAACCTGTGACCCCCTGATCCGAAGATCAGCGCACTAACCCGTATATACCGTTTATACATCCATGTTTAACGCTGCGATTTTACAATGATTCACATTAATTGAATTGCAAGCAATAGCTCTATATTTTGTGAAAATATGCCAATTTGCTTCCCTGCAGAAAGTTAAATGATAAGATCGATATTACATTCACCAGGAAGCGAAGAGAGAAAAAAGGAATAGAAGCTCTGTGAAATAGTAACAATACTCACTCCTCTGCCCCCCCTGAAGCCTATGTATAGCCAACAAGTAAATACATTTAAGATAACTATTCCTAAAATATGCTTTTTATGAAATTATGTTAACCAATAGTCTCAACTCTGCTTACTTGTTAAACTCTTCAGCTCTTCATAATTAAGTGCAGAACAATGAAAAAAACATGCAACACAGAAAAGTAAAGAGTCCAGTGTGTGTCTTACGGGGTCAGGGCTGAACTCGATGGGCGCCGGGTCTTTGCAGCTGCAGATGCTGCCGTATCCTTCCACTTTGCTGCAGAAGAGCTTCCTCCTCCTGTTCAGCTCCGTGTCGGCCCAGTGGCACTCTGCCTCTGCAAGGACGGGGGATTACAGGTAGTTAGTCATCACTAGTATTTTTGGTTTGGTCAGGTTTTGGCCTTAAAGAAGCTTTTCATTAACACGACATGGTCAGACTAGAAGTGTGTGTTACCTTCAGAGGCGGTGAGCTGCACCTCAGTCTTCAGCAGCACCGGGTCCCCCCAGGTGGACAGAGCTGGAGACTTTGAGTGCTTCTCTCCATACACCTGACCTGGAACCGCCAACACAGTAAGGTCAGAACATGTAAAATCGTAACAAAATGTGATAATTAAATGCATTTTGAAATCTAACTAAATAGTCATCCCGTCCCCTTAACCCCGAGTTGTTATTCTCTGTTGCATCCATTATCATAAGTATATGTTGATATTGTTATTTTTTTTAACACTGGGTGGCGTATTTTGCGCAACTGGTTAGGTAAGTGAGCTAACCAGGACAGGTGGCAGTTATTGGCACAGTTTTGGAGCGTGCCGCCATACAGAAGCTGCTGATTTTGTGAAGACGTTGATCACTTTGTTGTGGTTGAGCGTATGCGTCAAACTAGTTTAACAAGCTAAGCAATCCTTCTCTGACATTGAGAAGCAGTGTTCACCAATTATTTATTTTTTTACTCTTGTTGAGTAAATGTGTAAAATGAAACAGGCACCAATGTAAAGTGTCGTAGTAAATCGAAGAGATTAATCATGGAATATAATGTTCAATGATGTCAAATAAAACAAAATTAAAGCTTAACTGAAACACTGAAGCTCAACTGTAGTAAGACAAATATCTGAACCAAAACTAAAATCAACTGAAAGAATCTAAAGGGAATCTCAAAATGTCTCTTCTTGATGCATTGTTTTTAGAAAAAATATAAAACATTATATTATTTTCTGGACATTATTTAAATAAAACGATAAATTCAGGGAAATTAAAACCAACCCTGGTTTACTCATGCATCAGCACAGCATCTGAAAACAACCAACACCCTAACTCAGCTCTTATTTATATCAGCTTTGGATTCAAAGAAGTACTTCAGTGAAGACTGGAATCAATCGAAAAGGATATTTATAGAGCCTAATATTTCAAAACTGAAGATAGAGTTTGTCTCAGGGTGCTTTTCAGACTGCACAGCTTACGACCCCATCTGTCTTTAGATACTTGCAGTGCACAAGGAAACACTCCCAAAGGGGGAGGGATCACTCTCCGTTGTGTGTACAGAATAAACAACATAACAAATCACCACATAGACAATCCGTTCAACATGAGTGATTTTATGAAAAACTAAGAAAAAAATTGATGTCAACCTACCCCAAAAATGTTTTGGGGTAATTATACGGCATTAGAAAGAGTTAGGTCAGAGGTGTCCAAACTACGGCCTGGGGACCAACTGCGGCCCGTTGTCCATTTTTTATTGGCCCTCAGCAAATTCTAAAGTATATTGGAATATAGCCCATACCTGAAACGTGTGCTTGTCTTATATTGTACATCTTAAATATATATATTGACAAATATATTACACAGTAGGATTCATGTGTTGATAAGCCCACTTTTCAAATAAATTCAGTCAATTAAAGTTTTTTCTAACAAATCCTAGTTCATTAAAAAAAAAAGCCCAATAACTTAAATAAAATAATGAAAACCCTATGAAAAGCTGTGATCTATGCTGTTCTATTTTCTTAAAGCATATTCAAGTATCAAGCATATGTTTACTTACTTTGCATTTCTTTTTGCTATCTTGTAACTGAATTTATGAGGCAATATATCTCACCTCTAGGGAGTGGCCCAACCTTTTGTATATTTTTATGTATGAGGCCCAAAACGTTTTGAAACCCATGAGTTTGTTCTACTTGTAAAGTGAAAGGGTGCTCCTCTACCTCCTTTCTTCACCACCAGTGTCCACATGTCCCTCCAGCTGAGGTTGAGGGACACCTGGCTGCCCAGAATCTTCAGCAGGTTCTTAGCAGCATCCTTCAGGTGGAACGTGCCTTCATCCTGCAGACAAAAACACGTTGAGACATGCCTGTATGAACATCACAGGAATAACTGATATCTGATCATGGAGACAGTGACTGACCTTTATGGTGAAGATGAGGACTCGGCCCCGGGTCACCATGTTGAGGAAGAGGATCATGGCATCATCCTCGTGGGGGGAGTAGGTGTCGAATATCCTCTTGGCCATCACATGGCCCTGAGACAAAAACACAGTGATGGACTTTTCGGATCTTTCCGATTTGACCTTTGACATTACATAAAAGATATTCTTATTTGGCTGTAATTCCTTATATTAGGGAAAACAATTCCCTTTATTTGCAACAGAATGCATAACATTGTTCTATCGTAGAGCACATTGTCAAGTAAAGTGAGAAATGGGAAAGGAGAAGTTGACGATTTTGCAATTGTGGCATGATTAGCCAAATCGAAAAATCGTTTTAAATGTACTTAAAAGTTTTATTTAAATAATTATGGTTTTGAATTTTTTAAGAGAATCTACCAAACAAGGATGTATTGTTGAGTCCACCACAATGCCTCATTTGCGTAGATAGTTTTTTGGATTAAAATGGTAGGAGCTTGAATTAAACATTAAGAGAAAACAAACTCAGTGCTTACAGTTGCCTGGTTGAGAACTATCACATGGATGCCTCTGCCCTGCTCCCGCATATCATCCTCCAACACCTGCAGGAGAAGAGCAAAATATAGATATATTATCTGTCTGACATCTTTTCAGTTATGTACGATTGTCATGAAAATACTTTATTTCATTTGAACTCACTGTGGTGCCGTCCACTGCCACGTAGACCTTGGAGCGGCTGGAGTACACTTCAATGTCCAGGACTTTGCGTCCACTAGCCGGCCTGCGTGGCGTCTCCATGTTGGGAACAATGTCCTCTAAAAAAGGAGCATAAGACTAGGATTAGCTTGTCTACAATGTAGCCATGCTGAAATGCGATACATAGAAAGCAGTGCTTCAAAAAGCTACACGTTGATGTCTCACACATCAGCAAGGAGGCTCCAAGTTTTGCCCTCAATAATAGACTTTGAAAACCAGAAAAAGGTAGAATACTCAATTCTGATTGGTTAATTACGGCATACAACCACCTGTTATTTTTTAAAAGCAGACCACTGCTATGAATAACAGACTGTTACTATGGACACAGTTATTTCATGGAGGCAGGATAATGTACAGAGAGCAGGTAAGAATTTAAAATTGAACCCTCTATTATCCTTTACTCAAAAGATCAACACAAACATAACTCCACCTTTGCAGCCTCATATTAAGACACCTCACTGTTCAAACTCTGGACTTCTAGAGAGCACATTAAGGTGGACATCCTTTAGACCCCGTTTACACGAGGACGATACGGGTTGTATCCGCATAGTTTCTCTTGTGTATAGCCCTTTCGTTTACACGAGGCCGTAACAAAACAATAGAAGCGGACCCCGCAAACGATAACGGGTCCCAAGGTGGATAGATCTGCAAACGAAACGCTCTGGGGGGGGCAAACGGCTCCGTGTGTACGCCTCTATACGATCATTTTCTGATAACGATGAAATAGCCCAGCCTCCCTCTCACCACGCCTCCCTTTCCCAACGTCTCCTGCTCAGAGATCAGCTGCTGGGCTGTAAGAAGAGGGGGAGGAAAAGAGAGGCTCCGTTTATTATTCTTATATAGAGTCGTTATCAATTTGTTTTAAAGCTCAATAAATAACAAAGAAGACCTCTGACCGGCACTTTTCTAATTTTGTTTTTTTATTATAATATAGTTGTAATAGTCGAGACAAAACATGCTTATGACATGCTCAAAAACCGATATTTCTTAAATCTGTATTCAAATGTAGTTCCCTCTGTCAGCAATGTATCAACAACTACACACACATTTCTATCAGTATTTCTATGTGTTGTGGTTGACATGATGATGACTGTTAGGAGTTAAGGGGAGAGGCTGAGCATTACCATGAAATGTGCAAATTGACATAAAAATGAATAAAGGGGGAAATAATGCTCCATGTTTTTTAGCCTGTAAACTTTAACTGTTATGTAAGCCAACTAGACAGACAGTTTATCACTCTTCCTCCTGTACATTAGCAGATACAAGGCATAATATACTTGAATGAATGTTAAATAAAGAATGCTGGAAATAACTGCATCTCCATTAGCCTATATACTATGCAGAGACTGCCTTCTTCATGTCGTGAATTGCAGCTGATGGTTTAATATGGCAATTGGCTATTTGACTTATACAACATTCACAAGTTGTACATTTGACTCATACAATAACCCACCTTCGAGTGATGCTCTAGTTCAGGGGTGCCCACAATTTTTTGGCTGGTGAGCTACTTTTGAAATGACCAGCTCACCGAGGTCTACCAACCAAAAATAAAATCCCAAAAAGGGTTGCTGAATAACACGTTTTATTTATACATGGGATAACTACAATAGGGCTGCAACAGACGACTAATTTGATAACCGATTAATCTATCGATTAATGAAACGATTAATCGACTATTCGGACTATTACTGAATGCCTTGCTCAGTCTCTCAAATGCTCTTATTTAGCCATCAACTTTTAGATTTAGCTTGAGGTTGTTTTAGGCATGTGGAAACTAACAATGAAGACAATAAAGATGAATACTTGATTCAAAAATACATATATTATTAAATTAACTTACAAAATTAACATTGCTTTTTATTTAAATTAAATAAATAATATTTCACATCAAAAGAAACAATGTTTTAACAAATCGTATTAAATAATCTGATGACAGAACTGTAAACAGAATAGCTGAAACTTTAACAAAATAAAGCAGATACCTCTAATCATTAACCTATGTTTTTAAAACTGAGTTAACTCTGTGTGTTGCTGTTAGCATACATAACACCTGACGTGGAAACGTTACTCGTGGATGGGGCTACAGAGCTGCTAGAAAGACAGTCGAACCCGGTGCATTCCTCCGTCTGAATGTGGTGCACTTTTGCTTAATGTTTAGACAAATTGCTCGCGTTACCGCCTTTATATGATAAACTGTTATTGCACTTTTGGTAACTAGCATTGTCCACATCGAGACGGCTAAAGTTTAACCACACCTCGGAGCGCGTTCTCTCCGCCATCTCCTGCGTGTGTGTGTAAACTGTACGCAGCTGCGTGTGTGTAAACTGCCCCGCCCCCCTCGCACACAGACGGGGGAGAGAGAGCTCTCGTCTGGATCAGAAAGATCGAAAATACACCGACCATAGACGCATTTGTTTTTCTTTTTGCATGTTAGAAACGAGTTGGCGACACTAAGACTGCAAGATAATGTTTGGGTAGCAATAATACATGACCTTTCTCTTTCTCAACTCGCTACTCGGAGGGAAGTCGCTGTCATATGCATTGTGAACACTCCGATAATGCCTCTTCACGTTACCTTTCTTTGGCAGAGCGACGCTTACTTTACAAATAAGGCAAATAACCTTTGAATGTGACATCGCAACAAAATATTCTTCCTCCCATTCTGGGTGGAAGTGGTATGTTTTCTGCTTTTTGCTCGGTCCCGCACTCATTTTGTTGTTTGTCTCTTGTTTGTCTCTTTAACTTAAATTTGAGTTTTCCCGGCACTTGACTGATTTTGTATCGCTTTGCATTCTGGGTTAACAGACTGGAAAGTGATAGGTCGCTTTTTCTGTCAATCAAGTAAACTCCTGAATTAAGTGGCAGGGAGGAGGGATCAAAACCTGTTTTGTCTATTTTAACGGAGCTGGATTATTTTTTTAATGAATGACTCGCGATCTACCAGCATTGCCCCCGACGTACTGGGCACCTCTGCTCTAGTTTCTTAATGTTTTTTTTTTTGTCCCTCTTGCTTGCGCCGGACTGAAACTGTCTTTTCACCGACATCTCTTCACCTGCACTAGTGGCCGTATCAGAGCCGTGATTGGTCAGATGTCGATTCATTGCAACGGTGTCGGTTACAGACCTGCTCCCCTTGTCACCTCTCAATCTCACTCTCGCGTGTCAGCGGGGGGTGCGCGGACAACTGCGCACAGCAGCTGAGGCCCTCTTGGCGGGACCCCCTGCGCAAGGCGGGGCCCCATGCAGCCTGCGTGATTGGCCTGTAGGGAGGGGCGGCCCTGGATTTACAGCAGGAGCACACGCCATCCACCGCAAAGAATAAACAGAAGGGCAACCATGGCAACCATGCTCCGGGGTCTTCTTCGCTGCTTTTGGTGTATTTTGTGGCGGCAGCAGCGCCACTTACTGGCCTGGCATATGTACTACAGCGTTTCCAGCATTTCCAGCGGTCTCGTTTGAACGGACACGTTAATGAATCGAAAGCGTGTAAACGCAACGTTCCCGTGTAAATGAGGTCTTAGTTTTTAAAGATTGAAAATATTCAGAAAAAGACTAGAACTTATCGTCGAATCTTGAGGGGTGAGACTATATTTCTAGAAACAGGCCTATAGAGTACAGGACATGGATGTCTACTATCAATGGGAGCCTATTTAAATAATTGGACATTTAAGTATGTAAAACTTTGGACAGAAAAGCTGAAGGACCGATCAAATAAACATGCATTAGCCGATTGTCCTTACACTTGTGTTCTCATGACTATAATGAGTGCCACATTCCTATTTTAGGCTACAGTGCTTGTGTTAAATAGAAAAAAAAACAGATGGAAACAGAATAAGCACTGGACATAATTCTCACCATATTCTTGAGCTGCTGCATCTTCACTGGCGACTCTTCTGGTGTCCAAGATGAGTTTAATGTTGACTATGACAGTAATCAGCAGAAACAGCACAGCACCAGCCTGTGAAAAGGGGAAAAATACATGTATTTTCTAGTCAAGGCTTTCTTAGGGCCACAGCTGAAAATCTGATTGTTGCATCTCTTTCATAGTCTTTATATCCTCTTGAAAAATGATTACCAAATGTTGTGATTTTTTTTTCTAACTGAGTTTTTGTAAAGTCCTCAAGAAATGTCAGATAAACCAATATTGATGAATGAGAAGTTGGCATGAGTTCTGCAACAACTGTGGTGACCTGACCCTTTGCTGGCTGCTGCTCTGGCTGCTTGTCTTTGTGTTTTGTGATGCAGATGCCAGTAGGTGTGGTTGTTTACTGGGAATACCTGGGCCTGGTGTTCCCATTATTATAAGAATACACTTATTCCGCGAGGAGAGAGAAAGAGTACACCCTGTTGCTGCTCTTTGTTTTTATAATTAAGCACAAAACACTCAACAAGCTCTCTTTTCATATTTCGTAGCCGGTCTCGAAACAACTTTTACTTTAAAAAGATAAAGCAACATTTCCTGAGGAGAGCATCCATTTTTTTAAACCTTTATATTGTCTACTTTAATATACTGTTTCTCTATTTATAGGCATGCAGTTGGTCTCAGGGCCGGCCCTGACCAATTTGCTGCCCTAGGCAAGATTTTAGCTGGCGCCCCCCCCCCCCAAATGCAGACACTCACTATGACTCGCGCATGCATGGTTGTGGCATGACCACCGAAACAGAAATATATGGACACAAGATGTGTGCAAATGTATTTAGTATCCTATCCATTTGAACATGATTTAAGTTGGGGGTGGACCCAACCTCCTCTTGGGGGGTCCGGGAAGATTTTTTTTTTTTTAATATTGAAGTTAAAAGCATCAATCTGGTGCACTTTGAGAGCAACATTAAGATATCTATGGATCTATGTGCTCTTTGCTTGATTCATGCCTTCCCAGTCCCTTATCACGTACAAGAGCATGGCGCCAGTTGTTGTAGCCAGT